ACTTCAACAACACTATCCTATTCGATTGTCATAAAATAACTGACTACGGAGAACCTTTGAATATATGGAGATGGTTATTCAACCATTACAGTGAACATATACCAATGTCGCACTTCCAGATTGAAAGCAACTTCAAAGCTTGTGTAGAAGATATGTTTCGTACAAACGAATTTAAGTATCAGAAACTGCTTAAGACAATGGATATGTATGACCCTCTTAATCCTTATCACATCACAGAGGAACACACTTTAGGTAGCAAGGTAGGTAAGCAGACAACTACTCCAAGCGGAATAACTAAAGTTCAAGACAAATCAACTTCTATGGATAACCTTAATCCACAGGTTACTGACGAAAGCGAAACAAGTTACATCAACGCTAAAACTGAAGTAACTTACGAACACGATGTATCTGAAACTTTTGAAGATAAAACACTCAACAACTTATCTTCAAGTCAGAAAAGGTTCGATAGTAGAAAAGGTAACATAGGTAATCACACACTCTCTGACATTATGGAAAAGGAAAGAGAGAGTATTTTAAACTTCAACTTAATTGATATTATCTGTAAAGATATTATTGATATGACTTGCTTAAAAATTTATAGTCCAGTTGACTGGACAGAAAGGATTGATTAATTATGCAGTATAAACAGATTGGTGCCGTTGTAAACGAAATTTTTTCAGAAATCATTGGAGAGAGCGAACTCGTAAATGAAGACCTCTCAAACATCGTTGAAGTTGGTAAGGTTATTACTTCTTCAACAACATTCGATGAAAACTATGAAAACTACACACGTAAGATTATTGACAAGGTAGGTAAAACAATCTTCCACGAAGATTCTAACTCAAAGGAACATCTTCCAATCTATAAGGACTCATGGGAATATGGTTCAATTCTCGAGAAAATCCGTGTAGAAGCTCCAGATGCAGAGGAAGATTACACATTCGACCTTGAAAACTACACTCCAGACGATATCTTTACATTTGAGGGTGCAGAGGCTTCAGAGAAGTTCTATAACAATTCAACAACATTTAAGATTAAGGTTTCTCTTCCTAAGCGTCAGCTTAGAAGTGCTTTCACATCACCGTCCCTCATGTCTAGATTTATTTCTGCTATTGAAAACAGAATTAGATTTAAGATGAATGTTTATCAGTCCTCACTGGAATACAGAACAGAATGCAACCTTATTGCTGAAAAGTTCAAGAGCGGAAACGATAGTTCTCTTGTCAACCTCTTTGCTTGCTATGTAGATGAAACAGGCGACACAACTCTTACAGCTGACAAGGCTCTTAAGGACGCAAACTTCCTTAGATTCTGTAACATGAAGATTGGTATGCTTAGAGATTTCATCAAGAAAGAAAGTATGCTCTATGGTGACGGTGGTTACACAAATGTAACAAACGAAAGTCAGCAGGTTATGATTATGCTTACTGACTTTGACAAGGCACTCAACACATACCTCTATTCAGATACACGTCACACAGATTATGTAAAACTCTCTGGCTATTCTGTTGTTCCTCACTGGCAGGCAGGTGGTACAAAGAACGCTTACATTGACCGTTCAACAATTAACGTAATCCCTGCTTCAGAGGGACGTAAGCCAAAGTCTGGAGAAGACACAAGAAGAAAGATTGTGCAGAGCGGTATTCTTGGTGTACTTCAGGACGAACGTTCATGTGCTGTTACTTGCGAACATGATGAAGTTGAAAGCATTAAGATTCCAGACGCAAGATTTGTGAACTACTGGTACTTCAGAGATGCGAACTACCTTACAGATACAGACGAAAACGTAATCGTATTCTATATCGACAACTATCGTCCTGTTGGTCGTTTCGCAGAAGAACCAGCAGATTGGGATACAGTTGACTACTATGAAAGAAACGCAAACGGCGGTTACTCTATCGCTACTGAGTTTGACGAGAACACTTCATATTACACAAAGGTTCGTGCTTAATCTCCTATGCAGAAAGTCCAGTTGACTGGACAATATGCGGAACTAGATAAACATAAAGCGTTAAAGACCAGCCCGCAAAACCGATTTAACATTGGTCTTGTGGGCTAACGTTTTATGTATAATATGTAATAGATTATGTGTAATAGATTATATGTTAAGATATAATGTTGAGGTGTAGAATATGACAAATAAAACTAGAATGATAGTTACTTTAGGGTTAACGGCTGTTTTTGGATTCTTGGCTATTACAGGTAAGATTACATCTGAACAGTATATCCCAATATATACAATGATAATAACTTTTTACTTTACAAGTTCTTCAAAAGAGGTGATGAAAAATGACAATAACAGTAAGTAAATGTGCAGACGAAGTAGAGAAATTAAATAAGACATTAACTTCTGAAACTATTATACCGTGTGAATTAGTTAACGCAGATATATTGTTTCCGGTATTAAAAATGGTTGTTAACAATCTTGAATTTAATTATGTTGAAATACCTAGATTTAGTTACGATTCAAATAAGAGTAGGTTTTATTGGGTTAGTAAATATGAAGCAATTGCTGGCGGTCATATATTAATATACTGTGAAATAGACCCTCTTATGACTTACAAGGAAGAGTTGCTTGAACTTAACGCGATAGTTAATAGAAATAGAGATTTCCCTAATAGTAGAATAATTGATAAGAAAATTGTTCCGTTTGGAAATTCTAAATACTCTAGTAAGACGTTTGGTGGAACGTATTGTAGAAATATCCGTTATTTATTAACTACAAAATAAGTCCAGTTAACTGGACAGAAAGGAAAATATATGGCTAGAATTTCAGATATATGGACTTACGAAACCGAAAAAACATTACCGGAAACCTTTAAAGCGTTATCGACATTAGCTCACGTTTATGACGCAGATACTGGTTTTACAGAATTAAATACAAACATTGATATAACTCCGTTTTATATAAAAGCAACTGGTGAAAACCTGTTCTACGGTGGAGTTGATATGTCAAGAGAAGCTTCTCCACAGGTTAAAACACCAATAGAAGAATCTGAAACATACTTAGGACTTGCCTGTATCTATAACAGCGGTTATTACACAAACTCTTTAAATATAGTGTCAGCCGTTGACTATACTTCATATTGGTTACAAAAACAACCAACACTTGCAAGTACAATAAATCCAGTTACACGTTCATATTGGAATGACAGAACTTCTTTTCAAACAAAACAACAATCAATACTAACAACATACGATTATACCGATGTAAAGGTATATGCAAGTATTGTTATATGTCGCAAAGAGGGTTACAACTGGAGAACTACCAGTACAAGTATCAAAGATTGTGCAACATACAAGAACGACCCTACTGCTAAAATTGTTGGTATATCTATACAAGCTATAAACTATAAAGACACAACAATGAAATTACCTGATAGACCAACAATTGTTGCAAATATAACTTATCCTGATATGTCACTGCAAACACCACTTGGCAATTTAACAGACGAAACCGACAGAGAACTACAATACATTTCATGGGGAGTATTTGACAGATTAATGATAAACCCTATGTATTTAGATTTAGACGCAGACCTCGTTGACGGTTATTATATACCTTTTAAATGTGAACTTGATGATACAGACACAATGTGTAAAATGTTAGCGTCAATAGGTTATATTGTAGAATGCCCTGTTGACGACACTCACAATAAAATATATCCTATTATAACAAGTGGTA